AAAGTGTACATTATGAAATTTATTATTTAAGAATACTCAAAATACATCCCAACCTACGATACCGTAACATTTAGAATACAAAAAAGTTTTTTAAATCGTTTTTAAATACTAAAACGGCCTAATATTAATATTGTAATTTGAAATTATATTAAAAAAAAGAAGAAGTTATTAATACATTACATTCGGATATCCATTAATTTCAGCTCAAAATAGTAAAAAAAAAAATGTCAAAACATTGATTTAATAGAAAACGTTGAAAAGCATTTTATAATCACGAAAAAGTCGAAGTATAGTACTCGAATGTACCTGTACCTCATCATTTAAAAAGCACTCTTATGGATGTTTTAAAAATGAATTCAATGAAAAATCATTGCATTAGATGAAAAATGAATTTAACAGTCCAACGTTCAACTTTTTTGAAACATTTTACACCTACGCCTTTATTATTATCTTTGTAAACTATGTAAAATTGACATTTTGGCGTTTAATATGAACAATAATAATAATAATAACATTTTAACAAAGTTAATATTTCATTTTCATTCCCAAATATTTTAAAAAGCACTCAATATTTTCAATTTTAATTTTTAACCTAAAAGCATCAACTAGATTCAATTTTCTACAAAAATCCTATTTTGAAGCTGATTATCGGAGCATTTTCCTTTTGGAAAAAGTATCTCCAGACACAAAAAAAAAAAACATATTATTGTAAAATCAATAAATTTTTCACTCCAATCAGAATCTAAATGCAAAATAATCTTGACTAATTTTAAATAAGAATTATATGAAACTAATAAACGTATAAATGAAACATTTCTACCACAAATATAAAAAGAAAACATTAGCTTAACTCCAGCCTTAGTCATCACCTTGTGACATTCCAGTTTGATTATATGAAAAACTAATTATGTAGTAGACATTATCAATTCGTTTATTAAATCCYCATTTAATTAGTTTTTCTTTGAGGCCTTGAGAGTATCGGTTTTTAAATACTATTTAATGAAAAAAATTGACATATATGCTTATATAATTACACTAATGTTTACATATGCAATATACATATATCTTTATTTCCGTAAATTAATGTTCAAACAAGGATTATGTTTTATAYTAAAACGGAGAGATGTGGGCAAAAACGAACACGATCGTAAGTAATAATATTTATTCGTTATGAAACCATTATTCGTATATGCTTATTGTTATACGTTATACTATATTATTACTGTACCCTTCTCTGATACAATAACTGGTGTTTCCCCCTTTTCCGGACGTTGCGTATGATACAGAATTTCTGACTATTGTCACTTTTTTTTTACGACTACTAAAATATGTTTAGTTATATTGAGCAGAAATCAAATTTATTTTATGATTTATGTAGTTTTTACGCATGTCATACAATACACGTATATAAGTAACTCAATCTTGCAAAAAATATCAGTTAATCGAGGTTTTTATGGTACATTTCGGATATTTGAGTTATAATGACGGTGTGTTTAATGGCTAAAGTAGTAATGACGACTGATATAAATGGGTATTTTTATGATAATATTTTTACTCTTGGATTAACAATACCAAACAATTACAATTGTTTACAACCTAATTTCCATTTTTAATAGTTAATAATACCAGTTATAATTATTACTTATTATTTACCTTGTTTTGTTGTTTTTTTCAAGTTACTTTTTAATTTTGATCATGACTTAATTGTAAGGTTTCTCGAGTTTTCACTGCTGAAGTTTAAACAGACAAAAATTTAATTCAATATGAAGTTATTTAGATCCTATTAATAACTTAGTAATRACAATTAACGTTAGACGTTCATAACTTAGCTACTTAAACTATTTTTGTATTTCATACATAAATAATAGTCTATTTGTAAATATAAAAKATTTATCTAAACTAATTTTATGTTATTTATATCAAAAACATATTCGCAACATTCCATGATCCTTTATATTGACGTAATATTTATTATAACAATAATATATGATAAAAATTATTAGATTAATCGTTATAATATGATATGAGATATATTTTTAAAAATTTCTCCAACTTGTCGTATTTTCAATAGTAATATACTAATAATAACATCAATTACAGTGACAATATACACTCGGCTCTTACTGTACATCAGTGTTGTTACCTAATTTTTTTAAATGTAAAAAATTACTTTTAATTCATTCATTCTTAGAATTGTCCATAATTTCACTACATTCAATTACGCCAACGCCATAACATTGAAAAAAATAGTATTACATTAAAACGAAACTAAAAAGAACGGTGGCGTAGTTACGGAGGGGGTGGAAGGGGTTTCCACCCCCACCCCCCAACCACCCAAAAAAAAACTTTTTATATTGGTATTTTATCTTCTGTGATACTGATTATTTTTAAAGTAATCTTTTTTTTTGCATTTTTCAATGATAGAATTTATACCAATTTGAAACAAAATAAAAATGACGTTTAGTTTAATTAATAACTTGTAATTTGTGTCATAAATAGAGCGCGGATTTTTATGYACTTATAAGTATCGAAATATGCCATATAAATTATATTTTTAAAAGAATACAGGTAATACTTTTTTATATTACTTGGTATACACAATAAATTGTTTTTATTTTTTATTATATATAAAAAAAATCAATAAAACAATTTCTGGAATCCATATTTATATTGAACACAATAAATTTTTTGCGAAGCATTATATAATAATCAAACTCAATACGCAACCTCAGTAATAATAATTAAAAGGTTTTATACCTTTGTACTAATTCTCTTCAGTTCAAGTAATTATCCATAAACTCTTCCCGTTACTTATTGAAAAAATTTAAGAAAAATGTATTAGTAACTTAAACAAAAATTATCATCCTTGACTGTTGACTAATGTTATAAAAATACAATTTAGTCTGATTTACTTGAATAGCTATTAATCATTTTATTCATTTTATTTTAAGACAAATTACCGGTATTTAAGTGTTTAATTAAATGTTATTATAATATATTCTAAGATACAGGAATACAATTAGTGGCATGTGACACAATCTATTTAATACGTATAATTTAATGTGGGCATTCAAAATAAAAATAWTTGTAACTTACATTATTTCAATAAAGTTGAAGAACACAATTTAATTTAATATTATWACACCATTTTATACAATTATTATTTAACTTAGATCACATTACAAAAATTATTTTAATATATTGTCAATTTCACTTACTACAATACTGTCACGTGAAAAAATATTAATTATTATACAATAATTATTATTCAGCATTCGACGGTGTATTCATGACACTAGTGTAGCTAAATAGCCTATCCAGAACGCCGTGTAACAATAATGTTATGATTGATATAATCGTATGCATTGGTTTATCAATCACGAACCTACAACACGTTACTAATCATTTTTTTTTTTTTAATTATCCCGTGGCAACTAAGGCCATTGGAAAGGGGGTAGTACTGTAGGTTTTTTTTTTTATGGAACTGTAGGTTGGTTTTACACGTGGGTGAGATTTTTGGCAGAATTTCTATTGGGGCACCCGTAGGTTTCTGCCATGCCCCGGAGTGRGGGATGGCGGCACTTGTTCTCCGGACACCGTGACTTGCCCKGAGAAAAATGCCGCCCGATGGTCGAGGATCGAACCCGGTCCGGCTGAGCCACAGCCGACGCGGTAGACCACTCGGCCACCTCGTCCCTCTTACTAACCATTGTATTGCTTTGTATCACATTCTAGATCACCCAAACGTTAAATTGTTTATATCGCACGGTGGTCTAATGGGAATACTAGACGCCCTTTACTCGGGCGTACCCATCGTCGGAATACCTATGTTCGCGGACCAGTATTCAAACATCAACTTTGTCGTCCAAAACGATTGCGGACTTCAATTGCAACTTGATCAGATTGACGAACAGGTCGCCGGTGAAACTATATCCACTGTACTCCATGATGAWAAGTCAGTATATTAATACCTATTTAATCGTATATATAAAACGTTTATTATACTCGTATAACAATCTAATACACTTACCTAACTTAAAGTATCTATACTTGTATGTAACTTAAAATCCTATAAAAAACTAATAAAAACAAAGAATAACTATTTTATATACAYAGGTATAGGTATAATGTACGTGCAGCATTATATCATAATATTGCATAGTGTTTATCCAAAACTATTCGTTATATATAGGTTATTTTTCAAGGCATTCGCGTAGACAGATTAAAAAGCATTTTGCAGATTTAATACCTCACAGAAATACAGACGCGACATTACAAGTTAACTTATTGAGTTATACATTTAGWGTAACTAACACCAACATCAATACCAACTCATATAATAATAATTATATAACATAGTATAAATGTTATACCTACATTAAACTTACGCGAACTACCTATTTGCAGTTGCATCGATTAAATGCACCGGATAAGTTTTCTGGCTTTGTAATTATGTGAAATCTTCGATCTATTGATTTTGATGTAGATTACCGAGTTTAAGTTGTATTATTATTTCCATGCTTTGTTTCTAACTGAATCTTTATACTCGTACAACCGTTCAAGTTTTATTGGCAAAAAAAATTGTGTGATTGACTTCGACACCCTTAGTAGCTGAAGCATAGCATAAGAACCTCTCTAGTACCGAATCTGTCTCTACCGAACACAAGAATCCAAAATRATTTTATAATGTTTTATTTTTATATGCACATACTTTGTTACTATTGTATTCAATCCACCTCCGTGAAGTGATTCTATGTGGGGCACTAGTTCCGGGCGTTGGCGTAATTTATATCGTTTTAAGTTTAAACAGAAGATCCGGAACCYTAAATACATACACTCGAAGTCCTTTTTATAATAAAATACGTTGACTATTTTAAACACAATGGCATACCAAAGGTCATAAAACATATAATTATTAAAATAATCATCAGCAGTCTTCACCACCCAATATTTCATGGTACATCCTTCATACCCTTTGAGATCCAGGTACGTATCCGGATAGACTATATAATTAGTGTATGCTCCGTATCATGTTTATTTATATGGTATTATATATGGTAGCTAGCGCTAGATATTTATAATGTAGCTGATGATGATATATAAGTAAGTAGGTTGATATAAACGGTTCATATTTCTACCTTTCACATATATTTAAACTATTACGGTCGTTGGATACAGTTGCAATATGCCAATATGTGGTTTATTATAATGTTATCTTTGTTGGGCTGTATTTTACTCCACCATGGTATAGACACAATAATAGCAAGTGAACACACATCTTATTGTTTTGTAGGATACTAGGATATAATTATCATTATGATTGACGTTATTATCAAAACGCCAACGCTGGACATGGAAATGATACGTTTCTGTTATTTTTTTTTTTCGTTTTTAACGTATTATATTGTGCATATAGTCATCTAAACATTACACACAAGACCAACTCATACTTTTAGCGACCCCCACTCCTACTTAATTATTCACAAACTCAAAAATATAACTTAGAAAAAGTTGTATAAAAACTGTTCTCGTAAACCTAATACCGCATACCTAATACCTACTCCGTAAAAACACTAAACAAATCCAAACTCATTTATTTTAATCTCTGACAATCTTAACGGATACGGATGTTGGCATTTTATTCGCGAACCGATACGGTAAACACTGCCGTGTGACTTTTAATAGTATTACTGTAACGTTATTGAATATGAATGAACGTATAGTGGCCTTGATTATTTTCAAACTGAATATTCACAGACAATAGACATCAATTTGCTGACGATTCTCATACGGGAAATTTGATCAAATGCATCTCTATATTATATTAATTTATATATTGGTTTGCATATTATAAAAAATAAATGCAAAGTATGTGTAACATATATTATCTATCTCAAAATTCATGGTTTCGTTTGATCATATGAATTGCTGTTACATTTGTATTCTAATGACACACAAAAAAATCAAAAAATGATTTTAATTGAGTTACTTATAGAAATAAAATAGGCTGAAATTTTAAAAACGTGTCAAGAGAAGGAGTAGTATTCCATGATCTTTCCATAATCCATGATGAATTACTGATGAATTAACAAATGTTAAAAACTGTACTCAGCGGTTGACTTGTGTTTAGGGTAGCTATACAACAAACATAATTATACGATAGACTGAAAAGCATGTTGACTGGGTGGGTAGATGGACGGGTGTTTTCTGATTGACACCCTCTGAAAACTGATCGCCATCGAGTACGGTTTTTAACTTGAATATATAGTACATGTACAAGCATACGTTTAGGAAAGTCTTTTATACATTTAAGTCATTAAATACTTGAGCTCATGATGGTTAGGTAAGTCCCACTATAAAATCGAAGTCAAGCTAAATGCTAATATCCGTCGTAAATCAAAATATCAAATTAAATGATCAAACAATAGCGTAACTTAAGTCCATAGAACAATGGGGTCTTTTAATAAACTGTATGCTTAGATTGATACTCCAACTGGGCTAATAAAACCCTTAAAATGTATTATTAACAACAAACCCATCACAAGTGCTTTTATTAATTTCTATCATTTTAACAATTTATCTTAATAATATGTGTATCATATATATAATGTACCTAGTTTTATACTAAAAATTTTACAAAACATGTTTTCAACATTTGTCATTTATATAACACTATATTTATTTATTATATTTTACTTTTACAGGTATGCAAAAAACGCAAAACGGTTGTCAACGCTGTATCAGGATCGTGAACAGGACCCGCTAGAAAAAGCTGTGTATTGGGTCGAATACGTTGCCAGACATAAAGTCAACCTGATGCTTAAGCCKGCCACTCAAGACTGGTGGTACGAACGGTGTTTGCTAGACGTGGCTGTCACGGTGATTGTAGTTGTGGCCACCATGTCATACTTGGTGAAACGGGTTTTAGCCAAAAGCCGAATAACTGTAACTGCTGACCACCACTAAGACCATACTATATTCACAAAAATCCAATAATGACAACCATGTCGAATATCTTCGTTCAGGGCCTGGTTTATATATAATATCAAAACTCAGAGGAATATACATCGAATTATATATATATTTTTGTAATGCAATGCCCTAAACTGAAGCGTTGTTGTAGGGGAAATGGTCACTTTAATTTCTGCAATAAGGGGTGAAAGAGAGATTTGGCTTTCAGCAAAGTTCCTATTTACCTGTAGGTAATAATAAATTTAGCAATCACCGGTCAATCCTTCAACCAAAAAATCTTGTTATTTAATTTATTATATAATATTGATAAGTTATATGATAACTATAGGGCCCGGAACTTGATACATTAGCGTCTTTTTTTTAATGCTCACATTCAATATGTTTGTCCATACAGAAATTCGTTTCACGAAGTATAGAATTTAATGATAATATTTTTATTTTTTGCATTTTTAGGGAATTTTATTTTTTTTTCACTTATTTTCTATTTCTATTTGCATTTTTCTTGTTGAAAGTTACACAATATGCAGTTTCCATTAACTTGTCCATTATCAACGTTCATTACCTTCCTTTTTTTGTCACGAGAACAATAAATTCGATAAAAAAAAAAAAWTTTAATACATAATTTATTTAGTTAAATAAAAATAATTTTAATAAATTTTTGTATCAAAACAATTTTTATCAATTTTTACAGTAAAGTATAATTTTTAATATAATTTTTTTTGTGTCATTTTTTTATATAATTTTAGGTCATCAAGTTCAGGGGCCTATTGATAACATAAGATATAAAGTGTTATGTACATTTTATACAGTAAATTGTAATTCCCAATTGTATTATATTGTATAGGATTTATTTTTTATAAAAAAAGCTCAATTACAGTTTATTACAACAGTACATTTATATCGTGTTACATAAAACCATTATCCTCACCACGATTAACGTAAGTTTTATTAAACATCTGCAGTATCCGGATGTCTGATAACTGTAAACGAAAAAAGTACGTATTTTTAGTTAATTGGAAAGTCAGTATAGTCTCGATTCAAAATATTGTGCAAATGTATTTTAAAGTGCAGTTTAATATAATGTAATATATAATAAATTAATAACCAATAATTTTGGCTGACTTTTTTATATGATTAACATAAATCACTAAAAATATTTTTTTACCTATACCAATCATAATTTAAAATTTATTTTCATGCTGAATGCATGTGCTTAAATTTGTTTAAATAATATCAATTGACATAAGTTTTGATTTAAGTTTAATTTCACAGAATTAAAAATTAAAGTACGTATATTACGCAAAAATAGTATTACGAAATGTGAATTAATAAAAAAAAATCGACGATTTGTATTAGTCACCTGTAAGAACTGTGAAAATGGAAAACTTGTACGATACTTACGTTATAATTTMAAAACTAATCTATGAATTATACTCATTAGTTCAAAACTCGACTAATTTTTATTTTTTAAATACATAAAAAGTTAAATTTTTTGGTCTCGTTAGTGATAAATCATATTATTTTTTTTAAAGTTGCATTAAAATATTTTGCACTATATGTATATTGAATAAGAATACTAACTATCCAATTAATTAACATACATTATATTCAATAAATAATTTGTTAGTAATACCTATACTTATTTTAAATCGTTTAAAGTTTTTATTTTAATGTATTTATAAACTTTTACTCCGATATTCGATTAGTATATTCAATATCATACCTATCTGTACGAACACATACGAATTAAGTTGACTTTTACAATTTTGTGTTACATTAGCTAAATCCGTGCACTTTGTAGCCCGTTAAAAATTCGTTACATGTGATCATGCTAGCAGTATTTTTTTTTATAGGTACATATTATAGTTAGATAATGGTTAAAATGTACTAAGTAATAATCTTACAYTGATAATAAATTTAGCTTATTACAAATTTTATTAATTTTATCGAGAAAAGTTTGACAATTCAAATATTCAATTGATTGATATATTTTATTGAAATACATTTGGATTCACAATATTTTTAGTTCTTCCTTCTAGTGTGTACACAGGTAAATCAGGTTTTCCGACGCGTGAGCATGCCACATACAGCTATCCATGTGAGAAGCATCTATCCATGTGAGAAGCATGGATATTCCAAAATTGGTTCATACACTTGTAGCGATTGTCTTTGAGCTTTATTGATGATCATTTCAAAGGCAAGTCGCACCGGAAACTGCAAAYGTTTGAATTCAAAAGGCATATCTGTTGGAATCATTGGGATGCGTGGCAAAAGTATATCTTCGCCTTTAAACTTTCCGTTTAAAACTGTATCTTCGTAATGTAGTTCATCAACTTTTTCACTGAAAGCCTGGTATACCGTTAAATAGTCGAGATGGATTGATGTTTCGTAGAAGAATGATAGGTACGCCAAATTTSRAATGAACCACTGACGATTTCCGTAATTTTATGGTAGATTTGAGAAAACTTTGTCAATTAACTTATTGGTTGTTGCTGTCATTTGTTGGGAATATGATGCATAGTGTTGATTCATCGATAACTATAGTTTAACATTTCCCATTTCCAGCAATTGTTTTGCGAAATCGGGTTCTCTGGTGGTTCCCAATCTCGCATCTTTTTGTTTAATTGTTTCTGAAGCTCGTATTGCCATTTTCTTTCGTGCTTAGAACTACCAATCGATCATTTTTTTGGAGGCATAACTGCATAGAAATGCTTTTATTGTAACAAAAAAAAAAATATCAATAAAAACTTGTAATGCCATGGACGCGCGTGCCATGGAAATAAATAATAATAAATTTAGGAACAATAATTTCTTTCACACTAATAGCAACTATCACTAATAAAAACCATCTATAAACACGAATGTTCATCATTAATCTCAAAATATCTATTTGAACTTGAGCACCTCCCAGAGTTTGGGAGAGGAATTGATTTGTAAATCTAAACTATCCAGAGCGTCACCCAAACGTATACGAAAAATTCATTCAAATGGATCCARSCATTTAGGAGGAGTTCAGTGACATACATATGTACAGTAGAATTATATATATATAAAGATTAAAAATCAAGTATTAGTATAAGATACCTAAAAATACGATAGTATCATTAAAACATAATTAGATAACTTTAAAATAGTATTCACTCCTATCAACGAAGTTTCCGATTTTTAAGTGATTAATTATACTCGGTTTAGTCTTTAAATAAGTCAATACTCCATACATAATTATAGTCTAGTCATAATTTTGTAAAAAAAATTTTTATATTATATGATTTATAAGRTTAAAAATAGGAACACAATTTATATACCTTAAACTTTTAAGTAACGTCTATCAAAATGCTATACTATTTTATTTTTTTTATTAAAAAGCTTATAAGCATCATACGGATTTGGGCTTATAATAGTATGTACAAATCAAAAATGGGAATAATACAATTAAAACTCAAAATAGTTATTAATATCTTGTTATCTACCTCTATCTGTCACTTATAATAATAAATATTCATACCATAAAACACACAATTTATATCACATAATATCTATACATCTATACATATCATGAATAATTTAAATTCAATTACCCCGAGTAAATCACACACCAAGCAGGTATTTTATGAAGTTTATTTATGCATGCATATAGTGATAATAATATATATTATATGTATTGTATGTATTATGTATATATGCACACATATAACTCTTACTTTACGTTCGTGATCCATTTAATTGCAACAGAAAAACCACGGAATATAGATATATTTACATTCTTGCATTGTACATAATAAACCTACGTCAACCTAAGGGTTTAGGTAATCAAACGGCAAATATATTATTTGTATATATATATAAATACAATATACTTAATATATATTTGAATTTGGTCGGTGGTTTAAAGTAGAAACAATTTTATCTAATCGATTCTTGAGAAACGCATTAGTCTTGGTCAACGTATTACCGAATACTAAATCTTAATGATTATTTTGGATTCTGATCAAACCATTTTTATTAGCTGTTCCTTTTAAAGTACGACTTTCGTGTCTTTCTTTTTTTATTTYCACAGACATTTTAAAGCTTTATTTGGAGCTTTATTGATGGGCTCCATTCCACCATTATACATAGGTAACCCGTAATCAAAGATAATTTAATCAATCGATAATCCTTTTTAGTTTTTAGATTATAATTCTATTTTCTTTTTTTTCGTATGGCGCTATGTCCGGTAGGTAGGTAGGCATGAAGGCCTAGTTCGRACGCCTATTTGGCAGCATTTCTATTAGGGCATCCGTAAGTTTCTGCCATGCCCAAGAGTAATTCTAGTTGATCACAATTTAAAAAATTTGGTTTTATTTTTTCTTATGTTTAATGTATCCCTATATTATATGGAATTAACTATTCAACTATATAAACTTAATACACCTAATATAATATACCTACGTACTCAATTATTTTTCATAATTTAGTATAAATCAAAAAATGATATTAATAAAACCTTTAAAA